TTTGTAAGACTAAATAGAAAATTAAGGAAAAGTACACAATTTATAAATATGTATGTGGATATGAAACACTCAAAATGAGTTTCACAGTTATTTTGAGGAACTGAAGCATAAATTTATAATATCATAATAGATTCTTGCTTCAGGCGTGATAGAGGCTAATTTTCAAAACGTTACATGTGTGCTGATGAGGAATCAGTTTGAGATTTGTTTGTCACTTGTCAACTAATCTTTGGAACAAAATACAAGTTAAATTCAGTACAATGAAACATTTTCCAACATTTGAACCAGCAGTGCCAATCAAAAGCTTACATCATCAAGTTTTGCACTCAAAAATGGTATAGCAAGTACTCAGCTACTATCGAAGAAATTACTAAATTGTAATGGCTTCTTCAACTTAATAAACAAACTCAGTATAAAATATGATAAAACTAATGGTGCTAAAACAGTACATTTTTTCTCGCCTTCAGTAATTGTTATGTCATACTATTTATACCACAATTTCCTCCGAAGTAACACATCACAGTCATACTTTTTGTAAAACTCATTTGCAATCGTAGAACATTTGGTGCAAAAATTAAATATTTTCAAGTAAGAGATTTTTTATTAAAAACTTTAAATGAAATGTATTTCTGGCATTGTATTCACTGTATAAAGCATGCTGTGTCATCAATATATCCAATGAGCTTTTAACCCTAACCATATTCTGCATAAGCAGTATGCAGGAAAGTAAAATAATTAAGAGTTAGGTGTAACACACAATACTGATAGTGTTGGCAAACAAATGTAAATAGATTGAAAAATATATAATAGCAATTATTAAACACTATAATTTCGTAATATTCTATAAATATATAAAAGTATTAGTTTATATTAATGCGGACAAAAGGCAGCAGTCATTAGCATCTTCAGATACCAGTGCAGTGTTACAAAAAGCAACATGCCGGTAATTTATATGGGATACACATTTAGCCAATTAGCATTGTTGATACAGCTAGCAAGAAAATAAAAATGGATAAAAAAAATTATAATTACTAAATATAATATTTTTATATTCATCAAAACTACATGTTTTTACATGCATTACTCTTCATTTCCACATCTTGTTAAGCAAAGCAAAATCATCTAATTGTTGTCACATTTAACACAGTTAAAGGACACAATTTAAAATGAAATAATATAAATATAATAAATAATAATAATAACATGAAATATGAAATAATATATAAATTCTAACTTACATAGCATCCAAATGTGTAGCATCACCATTCACTTTACGTTGACGAAGTGCAGTAAATTGGAAGTGAGCGACTATTTCTGAGGCCAAATTGCACAAAAATACACATATTTTCAAAAAATTCAACATAACCTTATTTGAAGATCTGTTTTTGATGACATATCATTAAGAAAAAATTTGAATCTTCATAATTGTAATTGTAGGAAGACATTGAAAAAATTCTGATGTTTTGCAATTTTTGAAAAATCAGTTTTTTTGCGAAAATTAGTCCAGCACTATTTTCTTAAACATCCTTTACACTATCCAACAACGAAACTTAATAAAAAACAATTAAGCCAATTTCTAAAAATGCCTCAGGGCTTCACATAAATTCCCCCCTAGAATTAAAATATCTATTTCAAATTCAAGGGGTAGCGACTTTAGATAGTTTTTTAACAAGGAATATCAGTTTTGGTGAAAATTGTCTGCACGATTTAGACATTAGCGTTATTCACAGACAGACAGACCATAGCGATGAAAAAGTGGATAAATCCAGATGCTAAATTTAGAAGAAAAAAATTCTTTAGCATGTGGTGTTGCCAGAATCCATATTTTGTAGGTCCTTGACAACGAAAAAAAGACAGACAGACGTTTTGCCTTCAATCAACTTTTCGTTGTCAAGGACCTACAAAATATGGATTCTGGCAACACCACATGCTAAAGAATTTTTTTCTTTTAAATTTAGCATCTGGATTTATCCACTTTTTTGTCGCTATGGTCCTGTATTAGGAGTTTTTCTGCCGTAAAATTCACCATTTTTTCATGCATCATTACATAAGAAAGTAAAATACTGAGTCAGTTTATTAAGATCAAGAAACCATTACAATAAAATATACAAGATTATAGACATTAATATATTCATTAAAATACTAAATTTATCATTAATTTAGATCTAGGCACAATTTCAAAGCAGAAAAATGTAATGATCCAAAAAGACGAGAACTAATGTCTCACATAATAATCTACAAACAGAATTGGAAAACAAAATTGTTTCTATAGCAAATAGTAGAATTAGCTAATTTTATTAATTAGTTATATTTGAAACTTTAAATAGACTGAGTATATAGATTTTGTATTATCTTTTTATGTTTGTATTATACGTATATACATTACATTCCATTATGTTGTAATGTTATCTACCTATGTTAACAACAAACATACATAACACATAGCGCAACTCAGTCTGCTGGAATCATTTTTTAAAAAAGTAACAAAAATTTGTTACTTTTAGATACATTCAAGTCCATCCAATTCCCTCTCTGAAGCCAACAGTAATTGTCTATAGTTGGCTGTAACAGTAACATTGAGTAGTGTTTTAGAAGCACTGCATTGTAAATGTAAACTACATCTAAATTACGCATCCTACATTGTACATCTACGAACCAATGCAGAGACAATAATTTCTCTTTTCTAATTTTATGATGCTCAAAAATTATTTATCATTTACGCACAATCTCAACAAAAAATATGACATGACAAGACCATTATTGCGTACCGAAGTGCTCCAGATCCAATCTTTGCCATAAGTGCTATTATTTTAGCACAGATTCTCTCAAAATCTTTTGAATTACATAGGAGAGCTAGAGATGCAAGACTTTTCTGGATAACATCTGGTACCTCTCTCAGAAAATCACAATCTGTGAGAGCTGGGTCACTTTGAGAGAAAAGGCTATACAACACGAGTGAAGCATTAATAATAATTTCATCACCCAACTCTTCTTTGTTCTTCAATATTGACATTACAAGGGAAAGCACTTGCAAAATATTTGCATTGTTTCCAAACAACTGCTTCAGAGTCAAATTTTTATTGAACCTATAGACAAAAAATGTAATTGAAATGTTTATACAGTGTTTAACTAAATATACAAAAGAATGCCTTTATAAGAGATTAAATGGAAAAGGAGAAGTTGCACATATTAAACAATCAAGGTCATGAAGTCATGAAAGTGGAAAATTTGATTTAGTGACATTCACAACAACACTAAAAGTTACACAATCAACAGTGTCATTACAGGTAACGTAATGTACGAGAAATAAACAAAAAACCTAATAAAGAAGATAAATAACAAAAGGTGGAGAGTCTTCACAATTAGATGCTGAAATTGTTACTTACTCTTCAATAAACACAGCTAAAAGTCTTAAAGCATCATTCGCTGTTGAAAGTTCCTTTTGAGACTGCTTGAATAAAAAATACAAAGTGCGCTGCATACATTCTACCACATATGCAGCTCGAATTTGAGTGGAAAATTTTTCACTATTTAAGAAAAATTCTAAACATTTCAAAATTTCCCTGGAAAATAATAATTTTTTTTCAATGAAGATTGGAAGGAAATAATATGCAAGTTTATTTATTGCCCCAAAATGTATACCTCAAAAGTATGGAATCTTGAGTTGCCATGGCTTCTCCCAAATATTCCACAATATCAGCTTCAATAAACCTATCACATACATTTTGTGACGTATCGTCATTACCTGATGTTTTAAATTCAAGATAAATCAGCAAAAATTGTACAGCTTCAAGCTGGAAAATAAAGTGAACTTTAAGCTGACATTTCTCTAGAAAATTTCTACTTGAACATAGACATTTGAAATATCTTATGTGAATGTTGCTACACTTTAACTATGAAATTTCACCAAATAGGCCTATATATTGTAGGAAATTGTTACAGGATTATTCTTATTCTTGCAAATCGTTCTTTAGCCTATTTTCTATACTTCATATCACTATAGCAAACATGATGTTTTCTACAGCATTTGCGGACGGTTTTCATTTTATTTTTATTAAATTTGAGTGTATGGAAAAAAGGTGCAGCATACCAATGATGTAAAACAAATGATACTATCTTTTATTTTCTTAATAAATTTGAAATAGTATCAGAAATTATATTATTTTTAAAAAATGCATTTATTGTTTTATCATAAAGGCTATCTGTTAATGAATTACAATTCAAACATATAAAAAACAAAATAAATATATTTTCAAGAAAGACAAATTTTTCTTTGTGAGAGAAATATTCATCAGAATTTACATTTACAACAGGAAATAGATGAACATTTCCCAATTTTTATTTCAAATCTTTTGTTTGAAAAACCTGAATGTGAACTATAAAACTAAGTGAATGTGAAGCATAAAACTAATGTTGAGTATGATAGTTTAAAATGTTTTGGATTTAATTTTAACAAGAGATTAAATACTTATATTGTTGAGTTATGTCTGTTTTTGACCTTAAATTTATAGTAAATGAAATAAAGTTTCAGTTTACTGCAAATGTATTGAATCTAAAACATACATTTGGTGTAATAAAAATATTCAGAACCAACTTGCTCTGTACCTTAATTTTATCATCTCGGGACATGAGGTGATGCTTAATATTGGATACCAGCAGATCCTCGTTCACATTCTCAAACCTAACATCCTTTGATTCCATCTTTCTCAATCCTTAAACAATCAAATTCAATTTCGGTAGATATTATAAACAAATCACTAGAAGATAAACCAACGTGTAATTGTCGGTGTTTAAACTCACTTTGTGATAATTATTCTTTTATTTTATATCAATTTTTAAGATAAGCATAGCATAGGTACTGGACCGCCAACAATCCGTAGGAAATACTTTGAGCTTTTGTTTTGAGTATCTTCTCCAATGACATTTTATTACAAAACAAATGACTTACGCATTACAACAGTCTTCGAATATTGCGTGCAAAGGGCTAGGGATTCAGTGATCGCTAAAAACAACAGAAATATCTGAAGACAGGAACACGTTTATTTTATTCTATATGTGCATATTTAAATGCTTCTGGTATACTATGTGTGAACATATTAAGAAATATAAAACATTTACACGAATTTTTTTCAGGGCCTGCGGCTCTTTCAGTGTTGAGTAGCGTGCTAAAAATGATACGATGCTCAAGTGTTCTGATACATGATTGCAACAAAGAAAACAAGATACTTTCGACTGATCGCATCTGCAACTACCGAATACCGATCTCTAACGAATCATGAAGTCCAAGCCCATGTTCAATCTACTGAAGTTTTCGGTAGGAACGAAAAACGTTCTCTACCTCTGTGTCTTGACAGACGCGTCCACAAATGTACAGTCATGATATTCGGATTTTCATTAGTCCGTCATCTTACCACCTACTGCAACTGCTACAGTTCTCTAGATTCATCACAATGGGACACAAAAAAAGGGATTTTTTTACTTACGACCTACTGCGATAACCATTACGAAACCTTTTGTTATTGCTACGGTTTGAAGGCAAAAATAGAAATCACTGAATTATACTTCTGTTGTTAATTTAAGAAATTTTCATTTTGCCTATTTTAGCATTTGATGACTATTTTTACCCTTTTCTTCTTATTACGTCATTATTTTCCTTTTTTTCTTCTGTCACCGATCTCGATGAAGCTGAAAACTTGCCTGCAAGCTTGAGCACGCTAGTCGCGATCGCAGGAAGGGTCGAGATTGGACTTCTGAGCCAGGAAGTGCAAAACTTTGCCACGAAAAAGCGAGATGATATTAGACACGATTTTTGGATCTTTCATGGACGTCGGCAGACTTCGCTCACAAGGAATTCCATCCCACTTTTGAGTAGTGCGGATTAGAGAAAAGATTTACTACATGACTTCTCAGTGCTAGAGATTTCATACACGTTCGAATAAAGAAAACTATTGTAGCGTTTTCACTTTTGCCCTTACGCGATTCACGAGAGAATAATATAGTCAATAGCTTTTCGTAGACACAGCGTCGTGACAGTGAAACAAATTCTTAGTTATGATCATGCCGATATTTAGAGGCTAACATGTGCATTCCTACCGAAAACTGATCATGTGCATTCAAGTTTATAAATTTGTCTTTGAAATTAACAATAAGAAGTACTTTGAGCACTGACTTTATTGGCAAGTATACCGTGATTGCATGATACCGTTGATTATTAGACACGGCTTTCAAATCAGAAGGTTAATGGCTACACTCATATTCTCGTTGGTTTCTTTCGGAGATTACCGTAACGCAGCGTTAATGTTTAAAACTTGCTCATTCAATTGATATGAACGGCATGTATTGAATACTTACCACTAAAACTCAATTTACGATATAATGACAACAGCATCCCTGGTTATAATATCACACGTATTGGATATCATTTTGTTTGTATATCAACCGGGTGGGCCAGAGAAAACAAGGGGTCTGGACAGTCTATCCACAGGAGCCCCTTATTTCAAACCAAAATTCCCTTCTGTCCCAATTCATAAACAGAATTAACTTCTCCATGCATCAGAAATAACATGGCGTTAAATTTGGATTAGAGGTTTTTTTTAATTTCTTTTGAAAGAAAAAAATTCGGGGCCTCAATTAAGTAGGGGTATGGGGCAAGTTACCCCAGATCCTCTCTTCTCCTCGATATTGTGACGTCATGGATACTCACAGCGACCACAGACACAGAGCTTTCGTATAACAAATATATTTATTAACAAGAAAACAAAACAAATATATACACTTAATAATCTACTTACACCCTAGCTCTGATAGACCTACTATCCCCTGATCGCGGGAGCGATCCAAAACCCGATTGAAGATGGTTTTGATTGTGGCATTCGCCACTCCTTCGCTTTTGAAGCGCGCACAAAGCCTAGCTTCCGTGACCGGATGTCACGCTGGGACACAAAGTCCGTTCTGGCGCACCAACGGCTGGTTTGCCTCGATCGCAGGAGCGATCTTATCCGTTTGAGAATCGGCGTGAATCGTGGCACTCAACCACTCTTTACCTCGGAGCACGCACACAGCATCGCTCCCCCGTGACCGCAGTCACCCAAGGACATAAAGTCCGCAGGCTTCGTCAACTAATGACTCCAGCCTCGCGAGCCTGGCTCGCATATGCACCGTCTTGGCGCCAAGTTTTGTGCACACGCACGAGGTTCTCCCACCGTCTCCAGAACCTGCCTACTGGCTCCGTACACTCTGTTATATAGGCGAGGCTCACGTGACCTACTACGTCACGCCACCCCCTCGCTTGTTATAACAGTGAAAAGCTTCTATAAGCCGGAAGACACCCAAAGCCTTGTGTCTCCCGTCTCCGCGTTCTTCCCTTTACGGAAAAACCCTTCTTCCTGTGGCGAGACTAATCCGCAACCAAGCGTCCCCAAATAGATGCCTTGAGGCACGCTGGCTAATACGTTACAATATGCACACGATATATTTATAACAAAATTTAAATTCAAAATTTGCTGTGAAACTCTTATCACACATTTTCTGCGCACTGTAGGTACTTGTTTTTATGCACGTTCCTTGTGAAATGGCTCTTGTAAAATGTATAGCATAAAGCCTAATAAAACACAAAATACGCAATTTTCAAAACCAATGAAAAGTTTCGAAATCACTGGCAAATTCGAACGCGACACAAATTGCGTTGGCTTTTCCATATCTAGTTATATTGATTGAACTACGTAGAACATTTGAACAGCTGTTGTCCAACGTTTATAAGAAGCCATTCAAAAAATACGTTCTCTCTTAGGGGAGGGAAAGGGTTCCCGCATAAATGTGAAAAAGCAAACAAAGGGTTTTTTGTGAAAAATGAACCTTCTAGCTTAAGTATTAGATTATTAACATTAAACTAGAAATTAATGTTAAAATTGTATCTTGTGGTTAAATTTGAAATTTTTTTTGCAATATTAAATTTCACACAATTTGTATTCAAGTAATCTTCTTTTAACTCAGAAAATGTAATGCCGGAAGGTTCTGAATGGAATATTCATCTCAGGTGGATGCTATTAATTTTACAAGTTGTTACAAATGGTAGGGAGAAGTTTAAGCCAAGCTGCATTTTTTTACATGTATTTTTTGAACGACCCTCAACTGCACATTTTTTTCAGCCATGGCTGCCTTGAACGCGACAATTTTGTAACCTGTTTCCTTTCTTGCTGTTTTGGAGAGCAGCGGTAACATTTCAACTGCCGAATCTGCCCGAACCGCTCTGTACCACACTACATAAGTGCGCTTTTTTCAGCCATGGCTGAGCACAACACAATATTTGTTACATGTTTCCTATCTTGTTATTTTAGAGAACTGTGGAAGGTTTCAGCTTCCCGAACCGCTGAGTAGCATAGTATATACGTGCACTAAGAACCACTGTATATAAGTATGTAAGTACCCAGACACAACACAAGCCATGGCACAACCCAATATTTGTTAGCTGTTTCCTCTATTGTTGTCTTGGAAAACAGTGGACGGATTCAGCTTGCGAGGGACACCCAGCAACTGCCAGGACGGCGCGCGCGGGCGTGCAGCGGCGGTGGCGGTGGCAGTGGCGGCGGAGGCAGAGGCGGTGATGTGGAGGCTGCGGCGGCGACGGTGGCGACGGAGGCGGAGGAGGACGCGTGTCAGCCAGGAGCCGCCCTCGCGCGCCTTGCCGACAGGTTCGTCCTCCTCCGGAATCGTTTCCAGGCGAAGCACGATCTCCCGAAGGGGGATGACGGTCGGAGAGTTGATGTATATCTCCCGCGGACACAGACGTTTCATGTTCTTTTTTCGAAAACTTACACGCGGCTTTAATCTGTACCGACGCATACGATTTGGACGTGGGAAAGAGTTCAATGATCGTACATTTTCATCTTCCGGTTGTTCTTCTGCGGTTAAATCTTCGAGCCCTGTTCTTGCAAGAACGAATTCGTCCTCGTCATTATCACTATCTTCTTCTCTCGGCCCGACTGTCTCCTTTACAACAACGAGAGACGAATTTTCCAGAAGATTGTGTCTCGGAGATACCTTGTTGGTATTTTCATGGGTTGAATCTTCATCGTATTCACACGAAGTGTCCTCTTCATTTGCACCATCTTCTTTGTTGGATTCCATTATTTGTGGAAATTTTTTTCTCTCTTGGTGCACCGCGTAATTAGTGAACATCAATCTTACAAGAAATGAGTGAATACGATTACATGTTGTCTGGATCGGAACATTCATTAAACAGTCGTAGAATTCTTGTATAGGTGGAATATAAAAATTCAGTAAGTAGTGCGACTGCGGCATCCAAATTTTTACAGTCATCCAGGTTCTTCTAAGGTTGTGAAATTTGTCGAGCCATTCAGTTCCAATCTCTTTTCTCTCGTAATCCATATGTGATGGATTTAACACACCACGATCCATGGCAGCAAGATTCGTGACAAAACGGAATACGAATTTGCAGACAAATCCGCAAACGCTTGTAGGAATAACCTGCGCTCGGTTATATGGAGTACATCCTTATAATCTGACAGTAGTCTCTGTAACTAACTGCTTTTGGGTCCTACACTTCCTATCGATATGTCAACAACCTACATAACAGTGTCCGGCCGTTATCATAATTCGTCATGTAATTGTTTAGAGAGACAGTATTCAATTCCCTCAGAGGGTACATAGTCTCAGAAAGACAAACTTGATAAATACGTAGATTGAAGACAAATCTTCACAAGAACAATCAGCAGTAAAGTGGCTTGTTATCATGAATGCAGCAGGAAAGTACATAAATGACATTTAAAGCTTAAAAATGTATGGAGAAGACAATCCGAACAATCTATCCCTGTTAATTACCGTTTTTATCCTCCTATAAATAATGCCAAAACATACACATTCTGCACAAGAAATATTTTTATTTCAATTAATTAATGAATTGTTATTTTCAATAAATTAACTAATTACAATTAATTGAGTTTTGTCATTACCCGTACAATAGAGTATGTGGCACCCCAACATTTAGTTAATTAACTGCTATCTTGTACTACGACATTGAATTTTGTAATGGATGACTTTTGTAATATATTATCTAAATTCATGAACTGATTCTCTTTACTTTGTATCTTTCCTGCGTAAGATGAATACATTTCGCCTAACTTCGAAAGAAAAGAAAGTATTATAATCGTGCGCCAGAAAACGAAGGTTTTTGACCAAAAAACCTATTACCAGGCCCTGGTAACGAAAAAAGTAGATAAAACTAGTTCGTATATATAGTAAATTACATTCTCTAGCACGGCTAACAATCGACAGAAAAACACTTATTGCCGGTCCATGTTTTATAATTGTTTCTTGAAGAAATACGAGTTTCTTATTTACTTTAATATATACGAATATTAAATATAATCCACCTCAAGTTGCGGATAGTCATTTGTGACGTTTCTACTATCTATTTATTTACTTTAAAGTTCTTGCAACTTGCCTTATATAAATAACTAGTAGAATGTTGCGACGCTAA